AAACCAGTGACACACAACTGTACACAGAAGAGGGAAGGGTGGCGTGACCAAACAAAGTAGGGAACATCAGTGATTAATGTGTAAGGTAGGGGGGGGGGAGGATGGGTCAGGGCAAACTAGTCAGAGTCCTGGATGGGGAGAAATACGAATAAGAAAAAAAAACAGAGAAACAAGGCCAGTCGAAGGTCGAGATAGGAATGGATAGTCGCGCTTGTTGATGGGACAGTACAAAATAAATGCTTTATATAAACAAAAAAGTCACCGTTCTCGACTCGATCAAGCGGGGGCGGAGAGAAAAGGCTGGGCAGTGTGCAAATTGACGTTAGGAGGTCAAGACCCAAAAATCGAGGAGATGGGAAGGGTGGGGGGTTAGTATGTCCTGAAGATTGCAGTGGCACAAAAATGCAATGGCATTGTTCTCTGCCCAGCTCGAACGGGGTATCAACAAGCACGCCCGTACACATGCCAGAAGAACGGTGGTAAGTGGGAGGAAGGAAAACCCTGTCCTCCCTTATGTCAACATTTAGATCCCAACCTCTTGGCCACCAGACTCGACAGGGATCCCGCCGCCCTGGGGCTTCTGGTTAGACGAGGAAACAACGGTCGGAACCCCGCCACTGCCGCCGCCAGGGGCTGTCGGGCGACCGGCCATGGGGTCAGTGGCCAGTGGGTAGTTGGAGGGTCTGTTGTTCAGCTGCATTCCACCAATAAGCTGGGGAAACGCGGGGTGCTGTTGGGGTACATTGCCCACCGTGGGACCACCGGCAGGAGGATACATCTGGTGGGGTGGGATAAAGGGCATCTGATTGGGGACGCCAGGGGGCAGAGGGCCACGGCGTCGTGGCAGGGTCGCTCCGGCGACGGCACTCATGTTGACTGCAGCAGATGTGGCAGCCATATTGCCCACTGTGCCGTGTAGGTCGCGCGACATACCCGGATTGTTGGACATGGGAACCATATTCTGCATAAAGACTATAATGGAGTAGAAAAAGCGCCGACGTGAACAAAAATGATTAATAAGAATAGTCATCTTCCAGAGCTTCTATGGGAGGTGAAAAGACTCTCCCTGGGCCAGTCGGGCTCTAAACCGGGGCATTTACAGCGATAGACTGCAGTGCTATCTACTAAAATGGAGAACAAAATCAACCTGAGTAGTTCTCGACTACACAGTCCTTGAAATCGAGGAATACCAAATGGCATCACGATACTGTGAAAGTGTGAGTTAGTTATGTCCGCACCATTATTTGCAAACACGAGTGCAAGTAGCTCGTGTCGGATGGTAAAAGCGCGCGATAAACTTGAATGGATTTGAGTACGACGTAATTGGCCGACGCATTCGGGTCAAAGCTAAACAGCTCGCCTACACGACCTGGTCCCGCCCGGAAAGAATACATCCGCCTGTTGGCAGCCTTCAGAGACAATATTGATAGCACGCCGTGACAGAATCAAGCGTGTCAGATTGTAAGCGAGGGGTGCGCTGATTTGCCGTGACGATGGATTCCCCAGTGTCGGTCTCACTCCCTTTTCCTCTCCCATGGAAAAGTCGGCTACCTGAGCTCATCAACCAGTTGGTGATGGCACAGGGCTCAGTGGCTGACGCCGACTATGACCATCGTGTGCTCCGACAGTTCGTCCGTCGATTTCGACGATGACCACCGTGTGCCCCACAGACTGCATTGTGGGAGCAGGG